ATATCCAAATCATCCATTAATTCTTTTTGCCTCATTTTTACAATTCTTTCAGCGGTGTGATTCGTAAGTGCTTGTTGACTCCAAGTGATTATCTTGTGATAATCACTTGGAAGTCAATAAGAGATCTAAAATAAGATGAACATCTTATTTTAGATGTCTATAGGATTATTGAATACAAATTATTATTGCAGCAGCTTCTTTAGCTGTCATTTTATTGTCACATGTCAGCTGAACAAACATGATGTGAGTTTTTATGATTTTTGATGACATGTGTTAACACATTGAACAACGAAAAATCTTTTTGATTTTATACTTTTTTTTTTGAGCTGTAAGTAATGATTTTTCAAGTGAATCAAAATTTGAATTTGTATTATCTGATGAATCTCTCCAAAAATTTTGGTAATTTGATTCAACTCCATTTAACCATTTTTTTCTTTTTTTACCAATACCCATACAAATTCTAGAAGTTATGAATATTTTTTTGTTGAATATTTGGAACAGCTAATAATATTTAGTTGTAAAATTTACTTCTATTAACTTTATTAGGTTAACATACAACCTTAATTTTTTAACTTTTTTTTAAGTTTTTTATTTTCAAACTTCAAAAAAAAAATATACTATATGCAAATAATTATCTAATTTAATGTCAATTATCAATAGTAAACTATCATTTTCAATTGATTATTGAATATAAAGTTTAATGTAGTAATGTTAATGTCAATATCACTTGGGAAAACAAAAAATTGAAAATTGGTTATAATCCAGGTAGCACAATTTTCAAATAGAGATTTTTTGCATAGATCTTACTTATTTCTTACTTAGTTCTTAAAAGTGCTTTGAAGTTTTCACTCAAGTGCTTTAAAGTTTTCACTTAAGTGCTTAAGTTGATATTCACTCAAGTGATATCAAAAGCTCAAAAAGAGAGAGTGAGAATTAAAACAACTATTGGAGTCTTCTAGCTTCTAACTTCTTCTTAAATGTTTTGCCAAAAAACTGCCAAAAGAAGAGTCATGGAAAATGCTGAAAGAATAGGCAAAATTCGAGGAGCTATGTTAAAAATGTTTTAAGTAAAGGAATGACCGAGTTGTGTTTTCGCCCTGTTCAAAAAATAATCCGTCTGGAAATAAATGTTGGATCATATGGATGAAAATATTTCAAAAAATATGATCATTGTATTTGATGATGAGAAATTGAACCTATATATATATATGATACCTAGGTCAAACAATAAGTGGCCAAAAAGACACTGCCATAGAAGAGCAATATTTAAGACAATTAAAGGACAAATTCTGTTGGTAAGTCAACAGGTAGGAGTGTGTAGAAAACGGAGATTCTTAAAATCTAGTTGAGTTAACAATTTTTGTCTATTTAAGTTTTTGATTTTATTTTTGGTTTTTTATTTGTTCTCCTCAGGGCTTTTATTATATGCTGAGTAAGTGACACGTGTTGTAAGTATAGTTTAGAAGTTTTATTGTGGTACAACAGCGTGTTAAATTTAGATGAACACTTACATATTCTTAAGTTACATTGTATTGTTATAAAAATTGAATTTTGTTCTGTTATTAAAGAAATGGTGAAAAAATATTTATGTAGCATATTTTATTTACTTTCTCGTGTGGTCAACATATCTAAAAAAAGAAGCGTATTACAAAAATCTTTAAAAAAATAGTTGAAAGTATTTTTATATGGGGCTTGTCAAGTAACATCAACAAAAATGTTACTAAAAAATTTAAAATATTTTAGTGTTTCAATTTTTAAATTGAAATGTTTATAAATAATAAACTAAATTGAAATGTTTATAAATAATAAACTAAATTGCTAAATATTGCTAAACAAATTGTAGTAACAATAATACCTAAAGAAAAAATCCAGTAAAAATAAATCCTTACAAATAGCTAATAACAAACATATAGCTAAAAACAAAAATACTGACTGTTCCTCTCAAATACATGAATCATAAAATCATTTTTATTGAAATAATGAAGGCTTGAATATAATCTTACAGAATGCTGCAAGTGTTGTACAACCATTCTGTGCAACATTTGCAAGAAACATAATTTTTTTGCTTTAATCATAAAAAAAACCTGAGAGTTTTTTGTTTGCTTCAAGAAACTTATGATCAATACACACAAACTCAACAGACTTAAAACAGACTTAAAAGTAGTGATATTGATATCAGTGATATTGATATATAGAGCTGCTTGAACAAAACCACTGGACCAGCAACAATTGATAAACTTGAACTATGCATTAAACAAAAAGTGTCCTATTCCAGCTAACATGCATTGAATGAAAAGTATCTTATTTGTCCTGCATGACAATGGTTGACCACATGTTGTAAAATAAGTAAGAAATAGGAGATTCTAATACATGCTTCATCAAGTTGTGAAATAGGAGATTCTAATACATGCTTCATCAAGTTGTGAAATAGGAGATTCTAATACATGCTTCATCAAGTTGTGAAATAGGAGATTCTAATACATGCTTCATCAAGTTGTGA